TTCAAAGAGATCAGGGATAAAGGCGAGGATCACACCTGCTCGGTTTCCTCCCTGGCTGAGGGCTGACGAACGTCAGGGCTGCTGTTCGTTATTGGCTCGGAATAAATCTGACTGGGTCATAAATTGTAAATCCTAATAAAAATGACAGCCATAAAAATGGCACGACATCACAATTGTATAATCTGCTAGACAGCAGGTTAATGCAAACTCTCCTCTGTCTTTCCTTGCAATCATTCTGGTTTTCAAGTCTGTTAAAATGTGCCTGCAAGGAGCGAGGCGAGTTAATACACAGCCGTCACCAGCTCTACGAAGAGACAAACATCCCCGTACGTGTGCACTCTTGGACGTAAAACCCACCCGTCAAACTCCTTGGAGGTCTCTTGAGGAGGGCGCCTCAACTACTTTTGAAAGCATCATTTTTCATCTGCCCGGTGTTAATTTACCAAAGAATGTCACAATCTTTTGGGGATGTCAGGTTCCATAGATTAGGGAGTCAAGCACATTATTTCGCAGACAAAATGCAACGGCAGAGTCAAAGATCGGACTCGGACACAAGTGACTACGGGCCAGCGAGAGAGCGCAAATGAGGATATAAAAGGTTACTTTGGAGCACAATGGTTGCTCTTAACACAGCATGCAGAAGTCACACCTGCATGCTTTTGAAACGATTCATCGAATAACTCAAGACAATGTAGAGAAGTCGAAAGCAACAGATCAATTTCATACTTGACTAAATGCTCGTTCAGCTCAGTCCAATAAAAACCGCCCCAAAACACAAAACTGCACTGGTTCAGAGGATGTGCAAAAGCAGTGGGGGGATGTTCTTTCGCTCACATTGTTGCTCAAGGGTTGCTTAGCACTACTGCGACACCCCCCCACCAACCCTTTTTTTTTTTTTTTTTTTTTTTTTTTGAAAACTACACCCTAGGTGGTGCTAACCAAGGACAGTAAAAAGAAAAAGAGAGAAAACAAGTGAGAAAATGCTCTCCATGCTTACTCTCATAAAAAAAGGACTCCGCGTGCGCTGGTATCAAAGTCATGATCTTAACTTTATGGCCACTCTTCACAACTGGAGGCCGTGATAATAAGCTCCTTCAGGATTAAAAAAAATAAAAACAACAGCATGGAGTCAAACAGTGCCTTGGCAACCAGAAAATACAACTGGTTCTTGTGCAATTCTCAGCTGCAGTTGCTTGAAATCCTGGAAAAGTAAAGGCCATCGGCGACATACATTTGTTCACAGCTGCGGCTTTAATTGCATTCTCAAATGTTTGGGCATCGAAAGGTCTTTTCACCTGCTGCTGCGGCGGCTCCAGATATTTTGAAGTGGAGAGCACAAGCGCTCATAAGATCACGTACCGGCTTTCCTACCTGTTGCTTAAGCGTCAGCCGAACAAAAAAAAAAAAAACAACAGCAGCATGGAGTCAAACAGTGCCTTGGCAACAAGAAAATACAACTGGTTCTTGTGCAATTCTCAGCTGCTTGAAATCCTGGAAAAGTAAAGGCCATCGGCGACATACATTTGTTCACAGCTGCGGCTTTAATTGCATTCTCAAATGTTTGGGCATCGAAAGGTCTTTTCACCTGCTGCTGCGGCGGCTCCAGATATTTTGAAGTGGAGAGCACAAGCGCTCATAAGATCACGTACCGGCTTTCCTACCTGTTGCTTAAGCGTCAGCCGGTAACGGTGTAGCGGCATCAAGATGAGTCGTCAGTATGTCAGACACCGCCCGTGCCGCCGAGCCGGTCCCTTTACTCTCTCGCGGCGCTGTGGCAACAACCGTAAACGAACATTGTGCTAACGCGTGCATGATTCATTAACCAATACGGGGCGGATGAAGCGCGCAAGGTGGCCGTGGCGCCGCATAATTCTCTGTGGCCTCCCGCTTACCGCCTTCAAATGACAACAAAAGTTGCACCTTCGTATCCTACGGTTCCGCAACGGACTAGTGTCAAATCGCTTTTAGAGCCCGGCTTGTGATATTTGATCAAACAGGGTCTTTGATTTCTAAACGGCCCGACGTGCTGACTTCTATATTTTGACCTGTGGCCCGATGGCAACAATGTGCACTTCTCCTTCTGTTATTTTGTTTAGTTTAAAGTATAACTAGAGAACTTTAAAAAAAAAAAAGAAGCGGCTTACGGTGCGGAAAGTACAGCAAATCGTTGGCCAAACAGGACACACGGGTAATGGGAATTTGTCTTCCAGCAAGGTATCCCGTGAATGGGGGCTTTCCGCTCTGCTTGCCGAGATTTTGGTCTTTTGGGCTATGATTGATCATGTGTACAACAATTAAAGTTCTGTCTGTTAGCTTAGCAAACAGCGAGTTGAAGTAGCCTTTTCATTTATTTTTGTTGCTATCCAATCAAAAGTATACATCTCTAAAAAGTTTTTTTTTTCAATCACAATCACAAAATCTAATTTAAGAAATTGGAGACAAATATATTCTGTTGAACAGCAACGATATCAACCAACTACATGCATATGAACCACGCATGGTGAAATAGGTCAAAATCAACTACCGCACTCTTTGTTTAGTGTAACACTTTTTTGCATTTTCTTTATATTCAAGTATTCATTGAAGAACTTCCTCGGCAGCCCTCTTTTGCTAAAACTGTAGCTTCAAGGTTCGACACTTTTACAACCTGTAATCGTGGGGGATTTAGAGATTGGAAAACACTGTCAGATTGTTCGAGACTGTACTTGAAACTGGAACTATGTCATCTCTGCTCTCTGTGCCACTGTGCGAGTCGCACGCACACGCGCGCACCTGCTCCTGTGATATCCGCAGGTGGTTACAGTGCAACGAACCATTCCGTTAAGTCATTTAGTTACGGGGGTGACGAATGATAGGCCTGTACTTCTTGGATGGCTAAGCTGTTACGGCCTAAGTTGATCACGCACAAGCACGCACACGCGCACACACACACAAAGTAAGGTTCATGTCATAGCCAGCAACACTGTACTCCACATAACTTTCTCACACTTTTGACACCAAGGACCGAAAATTAAATTGCCCCTAAATAAAAGACGAGGGTGGCGCGTGTGTCCGCAGTAAGATTCGCTGGTGTGGAAAAATGATCCTGTTAAGGTTCGAGGCAGAGATTCCAAAAATGATGAACTGACCAGGGGGACTCCATTGGAAGGTCATACATTGAAAACTGAGAGGCATGGGAATGCGCTCGGCCTTTAGTGTCACAGCTGCTCGAGTCAACTTCCTCTCCAAGTACATTTCCTCCTTTCACCTCAGCCCGCATGGCTAAATGCCGGAGTCTTTTATGCCTCCGATTTTACAGTAGTGCTAAAACACACCTCGTGCGCAGCACATTGCGACTTGAAAGGCCAGGTAGCTCTCTGGTTTGAAAGACTATATTCAAGGCAGCGAGAGACTTAATTCACCTTAGCGCGATACAACATCAATGATGACGCCTAACGTGTCGCAGTTTAAATCACGACGAAATTTCTTGAAAGCCCACGTACAGGCGTTCGAATATTCCGACAGCATTCCCCGAATTTATAGTTGACAATCGTCCCTCAAAAACTTTGCGGTAAGTTTTTTTCAAACCGGCAAGCGCATCTTTATCATACTTTTTACTATGCTTCTGCCAAATTTAATAGGAATTGGTCGATTTGCAGACGGCCTTGAAAATCTATAACTAGTTTGTTAATTAAAAACAAAAACAAAAAAGTCGTGCCTCAAATGTCGCCCCCCTATTGTCTTTGCTTTCACCTGTTTTAAAGCGGAACATCGTTGGAATCGTGTTTAAAATATGTGTCGGACTATGCCGGTCTCATGGAACTCATCTTTGGAATTTCACACATTCCATTCCCACTAGATTGACTGCAGATATTGTACCAAAACGATAAAGGTGCGTTGTTGTTGGTCTGCAGTTACCCAAATCGATTATGTCCATTATTGACATGTAAGCATGGTACAATGATAAATATGCCACGAAATAGGTCAGCCGTGTCCCGGGTCAAGATTTGCCACAAAGGGCGGAAGGTACTTAGCTCGTTCGCCGGCTACACCTTTTGGCCAAGCCCTAAATGGCAAAACCACGCATAAAACACTCACCTGTACACACACACGATCTAATATGTAAACACCGAAACATGAACGTCGAGCACTTGATCAGATCAAACCCTGAACGTTGCGAGGAAAGGCTAGTTTTTTTTCCACCTCGAAGCTAATGGCTAGCGTTATCTTCATCGCTTGTCGACTCAAATAAGTGGAACCGATAGCCTTGATTCTGTTGAAACCATTGCAGAGAGATATGAGCTTGTCAGATTTGCTTTCAATTGAAAACAAAGCCCTGAGAATAAAGTTAACGCCTATTAGTCGTGACCGTAAAAGTGCCCTCTTCTTAACCCGCGCCCCCCCCCCCAACCCCCGGTGCTGATAGCAAGCAATGTAGCATCGCTAGCTAGTGGGCTAGCTCCACACGCGACACTTTTTCGCGTTTCTCAAGAATTACCACGGCGGTTGTGCGATTACACTGTCTCCTTGGCATCATTTCGCCCGAAGTATCTCGCTGGGAGTAAAACCCAAGGGCACGGCGACACGACAGTGTCAAATGACCGCCGCTAAAGGCTACATGCTAAGGTTAACGTGGCTGCATGGTGTTGCACACTCTTTGAACTTACTTAAGCTAACTGCTGCTATTGCTAATCGCCGTGTAAGTCGATATGAAGTGCGGCTCAAAACTACAACGCCGCTAACGTGGGCTAACAGGCCACTTTTCTTTCCCGTTGGGCTAATTGGTATACTTACAAAGCGCAGGATGAACATTGAAATCCAGTGACTAGCCCGGAGAAAGAGGAGCGAGTGCGGAAAGCGCTGTCAAGTTGTCTTTTTGTTCCTCTTCAATGTGGCAGCTTCGTCTGTTGTTCAGGGAGGAACCTTGCTTGGTGGTTACTTTCATGGCGATCGGAAATGTTGGCGTATCGGGAACCGGCGAGAGAAATCCAATCACTTCTCCAATTATTTTCCTTTGTGAAATGCCTCTTTAGACCTTATAGTTGCAAGTCTGTCTTATACATATATATTTGGTTTGATTCTTCACGAAGCGTTAAATTTCTGAGTAAATAATACGCGTGTGTGTGGAATGTGAAACAATAAAATATCCCGGACAATCCGAACAACACAATAAATTCTTCAAACACGTATGCTTTTGTATAATGCTGTTTATAAAAGTACAAGGGTGCTTGTGTAAAGCCAAGTCGAGCCGTTTTCGCGCATTTTCTGTTTCGGATGCCCGCGTTTACGAAGACCACCAACGTAGCACGAGAAATCTGACGTCAGTGCGACGTAAAAAGAATCCGGGTCCATGATGACAGTTCCAGAAAGCTCACATTATCTTCGTGCTTGTGGTTTGTTTTGCGTCATCGGACGACAGCCCACGTACATACAATGCTAAAAACGGCCCGGCGCCCCCTGAAAATAGTGCTCATTTACACACGACTGAGGTGACTTTCCAGGTACAGCGCGCGAATCTAATCGTAACTACAAAATAGTTAAAACGAGAATCAAACAAGAAAGTTATATTTCTTAAATAATGCGGAGCTGAAATCCCGCTGATTCAATGTTATGATAAAACGTTTCCTTTGTCCAACTGTTTGCAGTTTCAACCCATAGGCGTGACGTCGCCTATGATGAACATGCATTCCAAGAAACGACCTGGACTCCCTTTTGCATGATCTCGGTTGTTTCTCCTCCATACAACTTTCGTAAAGCAGAAGCGGAGTTCCAACACAAAACGGATTGTAAATGCTATGTCGCTCTCTAGTGGGAATTTCTGGAACTGCAACCGCAACATCCCAGACGGCTGCAACACAGTTCAAACTGTTGTGATTTTTTTCTTTTCAGCTCCTTCTACGACGACAGCAAATTGCGCAGGAAATGCTGAATCATAGATCAGTTGAACGTGTCCATTCAAAGGTTCACAGAGGTCAAATTGAGTTGACATGTAAAGGTTTCATTTCACCCAGAAATTTCACCAAAAAGACAAAGTACACTAAGTACATTCGGTCTAAGGGTCAGTTGTGTTTAATCATTTGTTTTTATTTGTTTGGCTTGTCGGTCGGTCAAAATATGCCTGCATGAAATTGATCTGTGGCATTCAATTACATCATTGATTGGTCGCATCAGTTTTCATTTCATTATAGTCGACTAAACTTTCAACAGACATATTCCAGCAACTGTATAAGGTTCCTACACTAAGAAAACAAACAGAAAACGTAAGTTTGACACATAGAAGAAGGCCTTTATTGATATAGTATCAATACAATCAAGTACTTGTAGATTTTTGATAAGCAGGGGGAAAAAAACAATTACAAATCAAAACGAGTGCATTTTATACTCACATTTTACTGCGCAAAAAGTAACGCAATAGCCTTGTGTGCGGAAAAAAAAACAATTCTGATAAGTAGATACATCGTACATGACACAAATAAAATCTCCACAAATAATCTTCGACAAACATAACACTAGGGTGCTAACTAAATGACGTAAATGCTATTGACTCATCAATGCTGTTAAATACCATTTGTACGTTCTTGGCTTCGGTGGTCGGTTTTGGCATCCCTATTAAATTATCATAAATGTATAAATATCTTCATTAATTTCATGTGCAAATGGGAATGGCCGTATACTTATTAGAGGCAACTAACACAAAGATCCCTTCAAAAACCGAAGCACATTTTTTTTATGTTTTTTTTTTTTTTAACGTATAAAGCAAAACATTTTAAAGCAATGTGTGATAAAATGGCGCTTACTGACACTTGTCAAATGATTTGCACTCAGGGCAAACTCTGCAAGCAAGTGACATCGTCTATAAAACACAAGGACAGAGTATAATAACCACATGTAATTCACATCACCATTTCATATGTCCAAAAATAGACGGCTACCAAAATAAGCCAACATACAGTACATAACGAGCCTTGAACTGCCTTGTAGACTCACGTTACAATAATGACCGTTTGTGTTATGCAGACAAAGTGGACAGCTCCAAGTGCATTTTTTTTTCCATTACACAATCGTAAAATACTGATTAGGTCTTATCCTAAATGTCTGTTGTCAGTCAGTGGGAGTATATATTAGTTGTGGTCGCAAAGCTCAATATTTGGCTTCAGTATACAGTAGTGCCTTGGGATCAGAGTTTAGTTTGTTCCGTGACCAATCATCTTTTCCCATTGAAATGAATGGAAGTGCAAATAATCCGTTCCAGATATACGCCTTTGGGTATTTTTTGGACAAAATGTCTGTCTACGCGCGTTGCTCCACTCTTTGTGTTAAAAATGGTTAAAACGCTACGCTGATGGCTGCTATTCGTGAAGGCCGTCTAAGGCGTTTTCCATGATGTGTTAGCATCAAGCTAGCAGGGACATTCCTAAGGCAAATGCTGTTGTCTTAATTTAATCTTGATTATGACAGTAAACTTCAACCGGAAGTGGCATTAAGCAGCTTGAAGCTTTTGTGAAGAGTTGTTCATTGTCTGCCAAACGTTTGTGAAGTCATTTGAATTTAGAGCGCCCGTATGACAACTTTGCCTTCGCAAGTCAAAGCAAATAATCTAAAATCTCCCAAATTTCCCAATCCGTCTCACTCGTATCTCAAGGCACCGCTGTTTTGACATTCTTGTATCAAGGTAGCCCTAAATTCAGCACGCCGATCATTTTTGGGCTGTGTAATTATCTTGTAACATTCTTGTAATGGTTCTTCCTTGTCTTCCATCACTTCCAACGTTCTTCTGCACGACACTACTCAAATGGGTGTTTTGGTGTTGACACAGAATTATTGCACACAAGTCATTTTGACATCATATTCAGTGTTAGTGTGATTTTGAAAACAACTTTATGTTTATCCTGGCATGTCAGTTGAGTTCTCGGTCGCCTTTTATTTGCGCTTCCGTTCCCTTACTTTGCACCATTAATCTCCATGGGACTTTCATTCTAAGCGAGAGGACAAACAAGTCAGTGTTCCGATGGAACATTGACAGAGCTGCGAGTTTGATCTGGATTTTGTAACTTCACTCCAGTTTATTTATTACCTTTGCCAAAGCGTTCATGACCTGAATGCCAGTGGGACAAAGTGACACGCAGACGCCCACATACAGTAAATCCATAGACACACTCCGAGGCAGGCAGGTTGGACATGCACACACAACGTGCAGTTCAAAGGCTTCGATCGCCGGAAACGAGAACGTGGACAGCTCTGACAAAGAAATCTGCCAGGGGTTTGTTAAATGTTACACAACTTGTGTTTCACAATCTGCGGGCCTCTCAATCACTTCCTTTACTTATTCACAGAGGCAATAAGGAGCGATTTGCATTTCCGTCTCGCTCGACTGTTTGTTCGAAAACATCTTGTCCTTGTCACCGCGTGTTGCTAAACTCACGATTTCGGAAGCGGCGGCTTGGGGACAATAAAACCCCTTTACTCAAATCTATAAATTCCGCAGCTCTTCTTTCTCTGGCACCAAATGAAGAATTATGTAAACATGCATCACGTCACCGTCAGTTAATATAGCCTTGGTATATGAAGTCCTATTTCTGTTAGCTATATATCTAGATTGCCTTTTTTGGGATGGTTCAATAAAATAAATAGTCATAAGAAAGACAAAAAAAAAGAAAAGGTCAGCTCCAAAAATGAGAAAGATCGCAACCAACGACTTCTGAACTCTTAAAATCATTCTGTGATTTTCATGAGAGAACGGGACTAAAGTGATGAAGCACAAGTGAACGTGGGGTTTCACGTTTCTTTAATATTTACAATTGTTTGTCTTGAGCTGTATGTCAGATTGATGCTAATCTGGCCAGGATTGTCTAAAACGTCATCTGATTTCGGTCCTGATGATGTCGGCACGTGGCCAAACTGTGCACTGGCACAGAACGGTCTGCTTGCACATTACCAATTAAGGCACCCAACAGTCTGACTCAAACACACAACAAAGACAAAAATCCTAAAAAAAACGACAACAATAATTAACAGAAAAATACAACTCCAAAACACATTGGAATGACAACAAAACAAAACAACACTGAATAAAATTCCTTCCTCTGCCTTGTGATTTATACTTTTTTTTTTCCTTGTCTGTAAAACAGACCAAAATGAGAAAAATGACTAACTGAACTGATAATGTTATTGTTTTGGAAATCGGTATTGCTGCAAGTATTTTAGGTTTCGGTCTGCTCCGAGGAGCTCATAAAAGGAACTGATGGAGTCAGGGGAAAGGTTATGTGGGGCAGAGCAGGAATCCCGAGAATGAGGAGTGGATGTACTCGGTGGAATAGAGACCGTTTGCCTGATCCGAGGGCATCTGAACCCAGACCTGGTCGCCTTCTTTCAGCTCGAGCACGGCACTGCCGGACGCCTGGTCCATGTAGCCTTTCTTGTATTCGTCGTAGGTGTAAGTAGCCGGTACATTGTTCTTGTACAAAGCCACCCACAAGCTGGTTCCCTTCACGTGCACGTGGTACGCAAAGTAGTAGACGCCCGATAGGGGAGCAGTGAAGATGCCAGTGGAGGGATTGTAGGCATTTTGCCCGTTGTACAGAGTCCTGTCAAATATTATTGGCATACCGGAAGGAGGAAAAGGCTTGGAGAGGATGGCTGTGAAGGCCGGTGCTAACGAGGCAGAGAGTGGAACTTGACTATAAGCCGGCCCCTTCCGGTCTCCTGGCACTTCACCCCCTTCCAGCTGGGAATCTGTTGGACCCGCCACAACAGTCTGGCCATTTCCCGGAAGACCTGGGGGACCCGGGGGGCCGGGTGGGCCAGGGTTACCGTTAAGTCCGGCCTGGCCTGGTTTCCCCGGAGGACCTTGGGGACCGATGGGTCCTTTCTCGCCCACTTTACCCAGTCCTGGGAGCCCAGGTGGTCCAGACTCACCCTTCAAGCCAGGTGCCCCCTGTGGTCCCATGGGACCCATAGGCCCCTGAAGGCCAGGGATACCTGACTGACCTCTGGGACCTGGTGTTCCCATGAATCCAGCCTCACCTTTAGGTCCCTGAAGACCTGTCAGCCCAGGATTACCTGGCAGACCAATATGACCTGCTTCACCTTTGGGCCCGGGTTTTCCAATTGCTCCATTTGGCCCAGGTAGGCCTTTATCCCCAGGTATTCCTGGTTTTCCTGTGTTTCCACTTGGACCTTGGTCACCTCTGAGGCCAGGCAGCCCCGGAGGTCCTTGGGGCCCGAGTTCTCCTTTGAGTCCTGGCATGCCATGCTTTCCCGGGAGACCCATGGGCCCGTGAAGTCCAGGAGGTCCTGGTTTTCCATCAAGACCTGGTTCACCAATTGGGCCCACCATACCTTGCTCTCCTTTGTCTCCGGGTTGACCAGTTAAACCAGTGTGGCCCTTTTCTCCTTTTGGTCCACTTAGACCAGGTTTTCCATAGCCTGGAGTACCTGGAAATCCTGGGGAACCCCTCAGCCCTTGCTCACCTTTTTGGCCTACATGACCTGGTGCTCCCGGCACTCCATCAATTCCAGGCTTCCCAATGCCAATAGGACCTGGTTGACCTTGAAGACCAGGAAGCCCAGCCTCTCCTGGTTCCCCTTGATCTCCTGGAGGTCCCTGATCACCTTTAGAACCCGTCAGTCCAGGCAAACCCTTTGGTCCAGGTTTGCCAATGCCTGGAAGACCAGGTGGCCCTGCGCTGCCTTTTAACCCCGGGGGACCCCTAACGCCAGGGGGTCCTGGTGTCCCATTTCCATTCTCACCCTTAACCCCGCGCTCACCTGGAGGGCCAGAAATACCTTTTAATCCTGGTTCTCCCCGACTACCAGGCGGGCCCCTAACACCCGGAAGCCCAGGTTTCCCATTCAAAGAAAGGCCAGCTGGTCCTGGCAGTCCCGGCTGCCCCGGTTGACCCCTGAGACCCGGTTCACCACGAGGACCAACCTCGCCAGTAAGTCCCGGCATCCCCTTCGGTCCGATCTTTCCTGGTAGTCCCGGGAGTCCTGGTTTACCAATCCCTGGAAAGCCGGGAGGCCCTTGAGGACCTGGCTGACCATTGAGGCCGGGGTTCCCAAGCCCAGGTTTTCCTGGGATTCCTGGAGGACCAGGGGGTCCTCTTGGTCCGGGTTTGCCTTGGGGCCCTGGCTCCCCTTTGACATCTACCATGGGTGGCCTGTCTAAAAGAAAAAAAAAAGTGTTTATGTCAATACTGGAATCGGATGGTATCAAAGTCATCATTCATGTCGTTATTGATTCTTAGCAAACCAAATTAGTAATATTTACGTCCAAGCTCCACTTTGTAGGGGTGTGGATCATTTCATGGGCAAAATTTAGGGAAATAGATGTGGTGTCTTGAATCACACGATGAAGGCCACATTACTGTTATTAAAGCCAAGCAAAGCACGTCCTGGATTCATTTCTGTTTCTCTCAACAGGAGCTTGGAATCATCACTCTGTATTCTTTCTTAAATGCTTACTACTTTTTTTGCATATACTGTCAAGCCAATTCCACCATTGCATTTCTCTCTTTACAGTTAACCATGGTGGTGTGAGTGCACTGCCAAAGGAAGGATGTACTTGCACAATTTTGCCCATGAAATATGGCATTAATGCCACAAATGCATTTTTCACATGACGGGTGACTGTCATTTCATCGACTGGCAGTTACTTGAACATGCAACTTTTAAGATTAGGTGAAAATATGATTTTTGCAGCACCCTCAAATCATTCCACACTTTTGCTCAAGCCAGTCATCTCTCCCATCCACCGAATTTAAACCTCAAATGAAAATGTAAAAGGTCTCATACAATTAAAAAAAAAAAAAAAGTCTGATCCTTACTGTTGTTTCTAGGTCCAGTAACTTTTTATACAGAGACGATTTGACTCAGTCATTCGGTGATGTGGTGTGGATTTCCAACCATTAAGTGGCAGTAAAAGCAAAGCAATAGTTTCACTCCTCCAAAACTTATTTGGAGGCTTTCCACATGGAAGATCCTTTGATAAAGTGCCTGCAGTCACATTTTTCCATCGTTTTAGATGATCATATATTTTATGCATATTGTAAAACCAATATTTCTCCTTTGGGGGAGAAAAAAAATAAGTGGCTGAAATAAAGGGAAGTCTGAAACTCATTTTTATGGCCCTGTAACAATGATTTTGCCGATGCTAACAAATCACAAGCACAACTTAACAACTGACCTGACAGAAACTAAATTGTATTTCCCCGCTCCTTCTCATACGCCGCTCCATCCCAGAGCTCATGAATGAGATAAACAACACAGAAACAGCATCCGGATGGCGATCTCAGGTCAGCTCTATGAACAAGGTGCCATCAGACCTGCCAACTCAATGATGGACTTTTGGGGGAGGGGGGTATGCTAAAAGGATGCTGCATAAAGTAACCCATGATGTCAAATGCTGCAAAAAAAAATAAAATAAAAAAAAAATAATAATATTATTATTATTATTTTTTTTTTATTATTTACTAACCATTGTTTATGGGACCTTTTGTCCAACAGAGATGGTCGACAGTTTATCGTGACGATGAACGCCAAGGCACTACTCACCAACATAATGTCCCTTGCCCTCTCTGAAAGGAGGGCCGACAGGTCCTTTCATCATGGGTTGCATGTACTTCATGTGAGGCATGGGGGCGTAGCCTCCGGCTAGGACATGCCCCCCTAGCATGAGGAGCACACAAATACGGGCCGACAACATGGTGGACGGCACGCCAGGCATCCGATGTCACACAAAGAACTGAAAAGAAAATCGGAAGAGAGAAGACAATAAAATCAATGAGGCACAAAGTTCCATTTAAAGTCATATTAAAGAAGTCGGTTAAGAAATGTACTGTATATAATGTACAAATGTACGCAGACTGCTCTGCAGGCATATTTCGCTAGTCACGGGTCGCCAAAGTTTTGCTCCGATGATCAGGATAGAATAATGCAGCCTGTGAGGCTTACGTGTGTGGCAGATACATGTTCAGGCACGAGTTGCAATCATACACTGTAGCAAGCAAAAAAAGTCCATCCTTCTGCCGCTACCCGCATCTTAAATGTGGCGTGTTCTTGGCGGGGTGGTGGTCGCGCAACCGACAGATTCGTTGACTTTAATTGACATCGGGAAGAAATGACCACACCGCCCAGCGGCAAATTTTTTCGCAACGGTGCCAAGAGGAAACCAGCGGAAGCTAGCTCGCGGAGCCTTGAGAGTGCAACTCGTTGGGTGTGCCGGAATGGTTGAAACTTGCCAAACGACGTGTGAGAATTGCATCCATTTCCACGCCGTTCGCCGTTATGCAGAAGTGTTTCTGTCAGACTTTTTGACAGATGATGTGCGGCCTCGGCCCACGAGCATGCGATGCTTACATGAAGCTTGAATCGTCCGAGCGCCAAAGAAAACAGCCGAGGTGGAAAAACTGAACGCAGTACCTCACAACCTCGGAACGGACGGATTAAGCGACCTTCAGAAGTGTACGAGGGATAAGAGTTACTAAACAAACAGGACTATGAGCGCTTAAACCACATGAGCAACAAGGACACACAGATTTTTTTTTGTATCCACATACATTTGGTCAAGCCGTGATTTGACTAAGAAGAAGAAGCCAAGACTTGATTCTCAATAGACTTGACTCCACTTTTTGGAGGTGTTTTCGTTGCCACATCTATGCAGAGATCAGATTTGTTTCATAGCTCGGCGCTTGGTGCCGTCGTTGTTAAGCAACCACACGAGCTCGACGCTCCACTTCTCGTCTCGCAGCCTTTGCCGAGGTCACTGAACATTTTTTCAATACTTAAGTCACACGTCTGCAGCCTCCGTGAGTGACTAAACACCAATCGAAATATAGTGATTGTGAAACTAATCAGGTAAAAATGTATTGGCCGACTTTCAGGCTGGCTGGCACACGAATATGTCTGGTTTTGGTGCAAATGTGATTCATCAAGGGACCCCAGGTACACTCCATTTCAGCAGAGCTTTCCAAACAACCACAGGGACTCGCATTAAAAACAGAAGCCTGAATAGGTAACAGACACAAGCGGGTGGCGCACAGGCCTCGGCAGTCTGCGAAGTGTTTTGGTTGAAAACGCTCCCCAGACGTGCTCGACAGTGTCACAGAATCCTCGCTGGCTCGCAGCGTGAGCCTTTTGGAGCGAGACTCAGAACAGTCTCGAGAAGAAAAAAACAAAACAAAAGAAAACACGCACATAATCAAACAAACACGCTCAGTATGCATGAGAACACAATCTAGCTGAGAGCACTTAAGGTTGCTGACTTCCTATTTTTTTTTTTTTTTTTTTAAACATAAGCCCACTGAAAGCAAATCCCAACGCTCCGGCGGTTGGAGGTGAATTAAAGCCACTCAAAGTCAGACATGAATAGCCAGCGTTAGGAGTGGAAACACCTCTTTTCGGCAGGCTGAGCGAGCCCTGAATATCCGACATACTTAAAAAAGATATCGTGTGCATTTTTTTCCACAATTTAAAACAGTTCCCAGGTGTCTGGCGTGCGTTTGTCAAAATACCCCAAGGATCAAGAATTCGAGACACATTTGCATATCCAACATATTTAAAGGAGATATAGTGTGCATTTTTTCCACATTTTAAAACAGTTACCAGGTGTCTGGCGTGCATTTGTCAAAATAGAATTGTAGACACATTTTTATAGCATTTTTCTTGCCTTGGGGAATTTGTCTGGTTTTGAGGGTGAATCAGTCTCATGCAGTGCGCCAGCCTTCACACTGTCCCCCCGCATCGTGCTGACTGGGCCCATGGCAAGCTACCAGGCCCGGAGCGACTAATCGCCCCATCCTAGCCAATTCCCGGTGGGCCATTGCATTACATAAAGCATTGACTACCTACCTTTGTGACTGAGTTTGTCACCAAGTCACAATCATTTTCTACCAAACGCAGCAAAAAACTGAACAGACCCCTCGAATCAATATCCCCGTAACTACATTACACTTCCTCTGCACTAAACAACACATCCAGTGTTCCTTGGGAAAACCTCGATGACTGTTGTTTGTCTTGAAGTTAGCGTCAGTCCGCAAAGTAGTCTAACGGAAGTGGTGTGAGTACGTTTTAAAGTACGAGCACCGATAAGTGTCGCGTGAGCTGCTTTGAACATTAGTAACTTAGGCAATGTACTCGTGACTTAGCGTATGAATCCAATGCATCTGAAGCTGGGTAACAAGGATACTGAATACACGTTCCAACTGCTTTCCATAGCAGAGTAGCTAGCGCGCCTTCAGGCCAAGCCCAAGCGGCATGCCAAGCGGTCAGCATAGGACAGACAGTAGACACAGACACCGCGAGCAAACCACCGTCGACTCGCTGATTAGCTCAGCAGCGCCAAAGGTGAAGCTCCTCGACCTTCAGTCCCCAATAGCGGTGAGCGTGCATCCAGACGATCCCGCTATTTCCTCAACCGCACACCCACGGGGAGATGAACGCTACACCGAGAGTGAGGATTCGGTGTCACGGTGGGGAGAGAAGCTGCCGTTTTTGCGGTGAGCATTTGAGAGGCGCCTCGAGTGGAAGACGCTCTTCGCTTCCAGGCTCGGCGCTTCACAAATCACGTCTCGCGGCGACTCAATTGCATCTCACAGGCTGCCGAGAGCAATGACCTTCACCCTAATCAACCACGATTACACACACACACACAGCCATGACTGGCTTAGCCGCTAGTCAACCGCAACCATCCTCGTTGAACGTAACATTCTCGTGCCGGGAACTTTTCAGCACCAGAGGAGAAAAATAAAAACAAGCCCACTCAGAACGCTGAAGTCTAGACAGATGCATAATAATGGGTTTTACAGTTTGTAGAGGAAAAACCAAAGCGCCTACACACAAACACGAGGAAGGTATCGCCATCAGCCGACGGGGAATTTGAACATGAGCGCTGGATTAAGACAAAATACTCCGAGGCAACCGCTGACATGCCCTTTTCACTGCATTCGGCTGTTTGCTTTTGAGTGACGCACGGAGCGCCATTCGAAGAACAGGTTTGAATGAGTGGCACTTTCATGAAGTTTTGTCTATGCCAGCAGAGAAAGGTTTTCTATTTAACACAACGGTGACAATTTGCCCCACAACAGTGCTCAATGCTCATTCACATCGAAAGCTAACGTCCGGTCACGGCAGTGAATTACACCCTGAAAGAGGTGACTGTCTTGATACAGCTCAGAGGTACCTTGACGACGGTGTCAAAATTTTAACACAAAAGGCCATTTTGTACATGCGTGAGTCCTTTAGCTCTTTCCATTGTCTCAACGCTAAAGGGAAAAGACGGCACACCTCATGAAATTGAAAGCGGAGTGAGGAAAGCAGCTTCATCAGCTCAGGGAATTGTACTTTTGGGGGCAACATTTGGGATTGCGAACATCCCTGCAGGTTACCGAGAGTTGAGTGGACGCTGACGGAGTGCATAAAGAGAGGGAAGCAACGCAATTCAAGAGCAAACAGGAGGTGGGGAAGAACGTGTGAGGACAGGGACTGGATAGAATGTGTGCAAAAAACAGATGGGGGTCAGGTAGAGGGTTTTTGCTCTCTTCAATGACATCATTCAGAGGAACATTTTCAATACCCCGCGCGCTCACTCAAGTGCAAAAGCAGATGCGCTATTTATAAAATGGGGTGAGATATATGCAGTTTAGTGAACCAAGCAGGCGCAAACAGTCAAACTGCAACACTATACTCACATTATTATTTCAATACAGCAATCCTCCACGAATTCACAAGATGACACTCAAGCACTACTTTTATACGACAAAAAAACCTGGCCTGTCTAATAGAAGTTCCTTCCGTCACTTCAACATAGCTCCTCGGCACCAAGATGCCACCAGATGGCACCAAAGCACTCCTTTTATACCAGACAGACTTTGCCAGAGCGCAAAAAACGGGGAATAACAGAGGATTGGTTTCCCAGCCCCCCCCCTGCAATCGGCGAGTACCTAATTGAGATAGGAAATGTGGATAGTACTTCATCGCATGCCGTGAGACTCGGTGGCGTGGTTGGGTATGGTTAACTGCTGGCAGTTGTTTATCAACCTCAACTGCGGGTGCCTGTCGTCTTGGATCTCTGTAGAACCTTGACTTGAATCAATACGCTGAAGGTGAGAAGTGATCCGAGGGCTTCAATTAATCCTGGAAAATTACACAGAAGTGGAAAAAGGATGAAGCTGCAAGTAGCCAAGGACAGGTCCCCGGAGGAAAGTCCTCATTGTGGTCTGGTTCTATCAAAGGACTGGACAATTTGACGCCACATGCAACACGAAGCTAGCACAAGCCATTGACAATATGGCCTGTGTTGGTTAACCAAAAGAGTGGTGATAACTGAGACGGAAAGTAACATCGAGCAATGGTTGTCGATGAATGAAGCAATAACACGGAGGCGCGGCGGGTCGAAGTCATAAAACCGCAAAGCGAATGCAGAGTCACGGACGAGAAAGCAAAGCGAGGAGAAAAGGGGCCGCTTCAGCTGCCGATCGCAGTGTCCACCCACTTCAGATGCCACCGATTGCCTTGCTTCATCCTCTGGCATCTGAAGCAGTCCAACAAATGCGTACCTGTGCCAAGCTAACAAAAAAAAATGAGTTGTCAGCAAAAAAAAGAAGGGGGGGAAAAAAACATTTCTTTTTGCCTGAAATGGAAAGAAGAGAGAGGTAGAAGAGAGATTAGGGTTTAGTAAGGGTGCCAGAAATCTTGGCTCCCCCTGGAGGATCTGAGGCTCAGCCTACTGAACTTTAGAGTGATTTG